ATTCTTCAACCCTGTAAATGATTATTTAAAAAAACCTAATGTCATGAACCCGTAAGAACTTCTGAAAAAATCCACAAAAGTGTATTTTATCTACATAAAATAAAATAAAAATATATTTAGAGGAAGCAATCAATAAATATGAACAGAGTGAAGCCTTAGCTTCAATACAATTCCCCGAGGCTTATAACAAAATGTTTCATGTGACTCTTGCCGTGACCATGTGACCTATAGTACCAAGGATAGGTTAAAATTTCACATCAACATAACTTTAAAAAAAAAGCCATTTGGTTCACAAGAAAATTCCCCTAAATGCTATTTTTAGCAAATATATTCACATCCATCCACCTAAACAATGCACAGCAAACATAACCAATGATGTTTAACTATGTTTCTCAGAAACGGGTCACTGCCTTCATGGAAATGTGGGAATTCGGAAATGCCAGATTTGCAGCTTCTCGGGTCATCAAAGTTAACCTTCAAGTCACATGATCCTGGAATGGAAACTTCTGAAATCAACAGAACTTACAAACAGTACCTCTATTTTAACAGCACATGTGCACTTGAACAAGAGGATGTAATTATCAATGTGAGAAAAGGTAACATAAAAAAAAAAACACCCATAAAATATATCACTGCAAGATCTAAGTGTTGGAGGTTACAACATGACAACAAACATTTCACATCTATTTGTATATAAATATTACAAAATGGCCAGTTAAAAGCAAAAGCAATGCATACAAATCTCACTGCTGCCTTTGAGAATGTTTCTTAATCACAGATGTTGAAGAGCTTGATGTCCATGGATACTTAATTTCTCAATGGGATCTCACCAATTTCTCTCTGATTTACCATTATTAACATAGACTGATGTGAAATTATTGCACAAGATCTTTGTATACATCTTTAACAATAATTCATCTGTTTACTGAGCCACTATTCAGATGCTAATCCAACAGGAACCAATCCCAGTTGCCCTTACTGATGGTTACAAAAAGTAACACTAATGGTTACAAAAAGTAACACTAATTGTTACAAAAAGTAACACTAATGGTTACAAAAAGTAACACTAATTGTTACAAAAAGTAACATTAATGGTTACAAAAAGTAACACTAATGGTTACAAAAAGTAACCGTCTGTCCAGCATGGGTAGGGGGACCTAATTTTTTTTAACATCTTTGTACAAATTCTTTAGGATGTTATGAATAATAAAAGAAACATCATAACAATACAACATTTACACATCCTCATAATCCATACTCCTCCTCCTCTTTTTCTTCACCACCGACTGTAAATTCCAGTGGAAAGTTCTGGTCATTTGTCCACTTCAGAACTTTGTTCTTGTTCCAAGTCTTAGGTTTTGTTTGCACATCCATTTTACAGAATTGGCTTATTTTTATGCAGACTGTTGGTTCCTTGCCTCTCAGGCAGATGTACTCTGAATTTAATGAAACAACACCCCTAATTAGTTACCCTTCACTTCACGCATGTTAGAGGGGCAGTAGGTGTATCCAAACTTTCTAAATGTTGTTTTTGGTATATATATATATATATATATTCATATCCTCACTCACTTAGTCACTCCTCCTCTACCTGGGGTGTAGAGGTTTTCCAGAGAGAGTGCCGAACTTCTCTATCAGCAGTTTTTTTTGGGGTTTTGTTCGATTTCAGTCCTCAGTCAGGAACTGTCGGATATTATCTTCCTAGCGAACCCCGAGTTTTTTTAGTGGTCTGGTTCCCTGGTCCTTGGCTTCCCATGCCTGCCATGGTGGCTGATTCTCTCTCATTCTGCATACATGTCCAAACCACCATAGCTATGACTGATCCACTCGAGTTTGTAAGGTCTGGGTTTTGATATTCTGTCATATTGTCTGGTTGCAAATTTATCCCTTTTTGTCGCGTGGACCATATTTTTTAGATATCTCATTTCTGAGGCCCGAAGCAGGCTTCTGTGAGCTGTTGTCACTGGCCATGACTCGCAACCGTCGGTCAGGACTGGCAAATAGGTAGAACAGTAAACAGTTATTTTCATCCTCTTGCCAATTTCTTTTTTTTTTGCTGACCTCCTAAATCCTGTACAGATGTGAATACAAACAAAGACATTACGCTACCCTTCTAAGATACAGGTCAATGTAGACTTGCCAGTTTTTCAGCCATAAAGGTAAAGTGGCAACAATGGAAATGCGGGCTCGTGGTTTCCCAAGGTGACAGGCTTATGTTTCCACGAATAAAATGAGAAAATACTGTTTTTAGATGACATTTCAGGTTTTATATGCTTCTGGGTGAAAAGTGAGGCTTCAGTGTTAAATATAGGCACTTAAATTCACACGTGGAGCGAGTGACATGCCAGTTTGACTAAACACAGCAAGGACCTTGCATATGTCAAACTGGCAACATAATAATCAACCAATACTATTGCTCTCTTGCTTCTTTGGTTGTTTGCAAAACAAATAAATATATGCTTTTGAAAAATCAATACTGTTTCTACATTTAAAAAAAAAAGCATATTTTCTTCCATAAAAAAAAAAGAGGACACACATACACATATGTATATACTATTATTTTTTAAAATTATTATTTACTACTACTATATATTTTTATGTAATACTTGTCTTATCTTATTATTATCAGGAAAAAATTTTATTATTTTATTCGTGTTTTTTTTAAACAAGATAACTATACAGTGTTTTCCTCATAGTTTAAAAAAAAAATGCTTTATTATATGATTTAAAGGAAATGTTTCTTTTAAATAGTACATTCCATAATAAAAAATAACGTATTCTTTTACTCAGCTTAATTTTAAAAGGACAATCAATTTTGGTTTTGCCATCAATTTCTGAAGGTCGGAGATAATAATCTGCATCTTCCTGTGTGTTTCAGGGCCTCCATTATGGGAGGGGAGGGACAGACCAATTGCTCTACCTCGCCCCACTTTCCAACAAGCATGTCGTTAAAGGTAACAGGGCAGAAAGGTGCAGATTTAACAGCCTAGTTTCAAACCACAACACAGAATGCTAACCGCCAGTGTAGATAAAGAAGAATCTGCACCAAGTCACATTTTTATACTAACTTAAAATTTCCAAGTCGATCCAACCTGAAATGTTCAAATTAATTTCAAATCATAAGTTGTGCCCAGTGTGGCTTGTGTTGTGAACTCCAGATTCAGCAAAATGGTGAGTGGCCTGTTGCCAGAGAACAGCGTTTCTAAAGTCAGATTGTTGTTGTTGGTACTTCTGACAGCTGCCTTATGAATTGAATGCATGTGCATGCTAGCGACTTTGCTGTGACTGCAGTCTGTGTAAATTTTTGACAAGGGATGGACACTGTGTATGGCTTTCTTTGGCACAGGAATAGAGCAACTATAGGGGGAGCTATTGGCTGTGAAGTTGGAACTGCACTTACCATTATCAAACCCTAAAACTAGTGCAAGATATTATTCTGGAAAGTAAAGTGGGCATTGTCATCTCTTTCTTCTTTGTTCACTGGTTGTAAGCTCCAGCAGAAAGTCCTGGCTGTTCATCCATGTGGACTTTTGGCTTTGTGCCAGGGCCTGAGTTTTGCATGTACATCCGTTTTACTTGCATATTTGTGTGCAGCTGGTTGTTCCTTGCTGCTCGGGCAGATGCACTGGGACTTTGAAGAAGCCTCCAGTTATTCGACTCCTACGGCATGCTTGTTGGGGAAGCAGTGGATCTGTTCTTGTTTTCCCCAAGAACCCTCACAGTGGATCTGTTCTTGTTTTCCCAAAGAACCCACACAGTGGATCTGTTCTTGTTTTCCCCAAGAACCCTCACAGTGGATCTGTTCTTGTTTTCCCCAAGAACCCTCACAGTGGATCTGTTCTTGTTTTCCCCAAGAACCCTCACAGTGGATCTGTTCTTGTTTTCCCCAAGAACCCACACAGTGGATCTGTTCTTGTTTTCCCCAAGAACCCTCACAGTGGATCTGTTCTTGTTTTCCCCAAGAACCCTCACAGTGGATCTGTTCTTGTTTTCCCCAAGAACCCTCACAGTGGATCTGTTCTTGTTTTCCCCAAGAACCCACACAGTGGATCTGTTCTTGTTTTCCCCAAGAACCCTCACAGTGGATCTGTTCTTGTTTTCCCCAAGAACCCTCACAGTGGATCTGTTCTTGTTTTCCCCAAGAACCCTCACAGTGGATCTGTTCTTGTTTTCCCAAAGAACCCACACAGTGGATCTGTTCTTGTTTTCCCAAAGAACCCACACAGTGGATCTGTTCTTGTTTTCCCCAAGAACCCTCACAGTGGATCTGTTCTTGTTTTCCCCAAGAACCCACACAGTGGATCTGTTCTTGTTCACAGTGGATCTGTTCTTGTTTTCCCCAAGAACCCTCACAGTGGATCTGTTCTTGTTTTCCCCAAAGAACCCACACAGGGAATCTGTTCTTGTTTTCCCAAAGAACCCTCACAGTGGATCTGTTCTTGTTTTCCCCAAGAACCCTCACAGTGGATCTGTTCTTGTTTTCCCCAAGAACCCACACAGTGGATCTGTTCTTGTTTTCCCCAAGAACCCTCACAGTGAATCTGTTCTTGTTTTCCCCAAGAACCCTCACAGTGGATCTGTTCTTGTTTTCCCCAAGAACCCACACAGTGGATCTGTTCTTGTTTTCCCAAAGAACCCACACAGGGAAGTGGCCATACTCTTGAGCTTATCTAATTTTAAAAGAATAATCGTATATGCTATTTTCACAATTTCTTTTAAATAAGGACCTGTTTCATGCGATCTTTAAAAATTAATGTCCATAAAAAGTAATAGACATCTATAACAATAAAACTCACCCAATTAAACATATAACAAGCACATGAAAAATTTTTAAACATTTTTATCACAGATTATCAAAATATATTAAATTCATTTACTATATAAATGTAAATAATAAAATTTGAATTAAATATTATAAATAAACAATATGAAAACATCTAAGAGAAAGGGACTATGGCAGCATAAGGTCCGATGAGGAATGAGCACAATGAAAACGAATCTTAGCCGTCCAATCGTGCCAGTTCAGTGCTGTAAATGTTGACACTCTCCACATCGTACAAGACAAAGTAGATCTGCTTCAGCGATGACAGTTTAGCAGTGGAAAAGTAGTCTCTGATGGCAGCAAGGATAACTTGTGCTGCTGTTTGTTTTGGAAATCCTGCACTGGAAGAAAAAGACAGTAAAAACTGAGACCAGGAATTTCTTTTTCTTCTTCTTTTTATCCCCCAATGGACCATAGGCCATCAATCAATACACCCTATCTTCTGCTGCCATAAACTGCTCACGCCATGTCTTCACCCATATATTTTGCCCCACTGTCAATTTATCTTCTCCATGTATTTTTTCTGGTCTGAATTTAGTCACTCTGATGCTGTGGATTCCATTGTAATGACATTCCAGTTATTTTGTTATCTAGTTTTCTCAATAAATTTATTAATCTTCACTGTATGGTATTTGTTTTTCAGAGACCGTAGCACATAGACATTCCCTGCTGATATGGTTAAGGTATATCTTCTTTCTTCTTATGTGGTCTCACTGATAACAGGTTGTAGCCCAGTCTCGTGGTTTCTGTATTTCTATTGCGCTTCTTGGATGGCTTGGGTGATGGATTTCTTCATCTTTTTGCAGTTATCAGGGACATTATTTATCCATCTCTTTCATGGTTTTCCCCTCACCCTCCTTTGAGATGTTCTGCTGTAAAAAATATAATATGCAGTTCGGTCTGGCTGTATTCCCAGTAGATGGCCAAACTAATTCATTCTTTGTCAAAACAGTTCAGACACAGTCTCATCCCAAATTTCTCTCTAATGTACGTTGGTACTTGTAACACTGTCCCTTCCTTTGTTGTTGGTGATCTTACAGAGACCGCACATTTTACATGTAGTTATGTTCTGTTGTAGTGCCGTATTCATTGTTCAGGTGTATGATGGCCATATATCCATAGTGTATGCTGAGTTTATGTGGTAGATATCATATGAGTTTCTGTCAAACCAGAAAAGAGGTGGCTGTCACCCAAGGCCAAGTTCATCTCCGTTATCAACATCATCCAGTTGTGCCATTACAGGTCATATAGGGTTCAGGGTCTAATCCTCCATTCTTTCCTATACTATGCAACCATTTCGATATCGTGGATAGAAATCAGTTTAGCACCTTTGGCTTCTCTCAGCAACATTCATCTTAGGGTTTCTTTTGGATATACTTGTTTCCTGAACCTATCTGTTTCCCATTTCAGTGCCTGATTGGTGATTCTCTGTCTATTTCCACTGATGATATTCCCAGTATACCACCTTCTTCTTTGTCTTAGTATGATGATACCACTGGCTGGCCAGACTTTTATTTTTTGTTTTCTTCAATTCGTCACATTTAATATTCCTCATTTATTCATACTATAACTAGTGCTGAGCTTTCGGAGAGAGCTAAACAAACTTCAGCAGCTAATAAAAGAAAAGGCCATTTTTATTTGTGATGGACGAACAATAGAGGTTTAAAAAATGAGTTTATGTACACAAAAAGGAATTACTTACTTGCCACTGCTGATTGATGGCAGTGCCACACTTTTCAGGTTTTTCTCATCTGCGAGTCTGAGGACATTCTTCACTGCCTTGTCAAGGTTCTGCAGGGCGTTGGCTTCATTCCAGGTTGGACTGTTGACGTGAATGACAAACTTGGCAGCAAACTTATGTCCTGGACAAATGGCAGCTGCAAGGAAACCCACGCAGTGTCACACACTTTTATTAGATGTTTGGTCTGTTGGACTGGTGTTCATTTGGTTTGTTGGAGTGGTGTTCATTTGGTGTTCTCGTGCCCCACAAAAGAACAGACCCATCCCCCCCTTTTTTCAACAAGCACGTCGGGTTTCGCTAAAATCATCTGCTTCAAAGTCAGAGAGTACATCTGTCTGAGAGGTGAACACCCACAGCCTGCATACAAATAAGCCAGTTCTGTAAATTGCACGTGCGTGCAAAACTCAAATTTTGGAACAAGACAAAAGTCCACAAGTCGACAAATTAAAAAAAAAAACTTTTCTATCAGAGATTACAGCTGGTGAATGTTTAGATGAAGAAGTTGGTTTGGTGTTGATTTGATTTGGTGGGGGGGGGGGGGGGGGGGGGGGGGGGGGGGGGGGGGGGGGGGGGGGGGGGGGGGGGGGGGGGGGGGGGGGGGGGGGGGGGGGGGGGGGGGGGGGGGGGGGGGGGGGGGGGGGGGGGGGGGGGGGGGGGGGGGGGGGGGGGGGGGGGGGGGGGGGGGGGGGGGGGGGGGGGGGGTGGGGGGGGGAGGGGGGGGGAGGTGGGGGGGGGGGGGGGGGGGGGGGGCTGACCCTTGTTAGTGAAATGTTTATGTTTTGTTGATTTAGTGCTATTATGGTTTGCTGTTGATTTGGATTGTTTTTCCAGCCTCTAAGTGTTTTTTTTTTACAAGCTTGACAGTTTTGTGTGGCTTTGGATTGTTGGTATTCTTTTGTAGGCAAAAAGTATTTTCAAAGCTGATACTGATGCTGGGGTGTAGCCTGTCTGATCTTCACACATGTTGGTCACAATGTGTGGGATGGAGCGGCCAGCTGCATCCTGTGTCACAATTTCGTCTCAGACAAGTCCCAGACAATTCTACACATGCATCTTACCCACCTTTTATGAGGCTGAACTGATCCCTCCCAGAGACATGGAAGGTTCTGATAAAGTTAGACACCAGTAGCCCAGGACGGACAGTAAGTACAAACCAACCTGTTCCTAATTTTGTAAAAACCTCTACAGTCAGCATGGGGAATTCCCCGTGTAGATTCCAGAGCTCATTTTGGAGACTTAGTGTTTCCTAACAAGTATATCGTAAAAGGCGACCAACTAGGGTTTTACTGAAATCATATGTGTTGGACAGAAATGCACAGATATTGCAGCTAGCTGTAAACCACAACACAACATGCTGAGTCCTTTAAAAGGTGAGTGCAGAAGAGGTGTTCTAATATTGTAGAGGGACACTATATCTTGGAAAAAGGACTGTTGAGAAAAAAAAAACTTGCATATTTAACTGATAATAAAAATAGGCTAAAAAAAGACATGTAGTACAATCTGAATTCTGGTATGATGCCTTTTGATCACACGATTCCATCATAAACATTTTTGCCACTGCTAATATTTTGGGAAATGTTTTTTTTTCTCCAAACTATAACAATCGTTTAATCAATTACGCTTGCTGAGGGCAACTAACTAGTGAAAGCCACTGTTTTTCCACCATCATCCAGCTTCACATGGAAAACACCTTCCATATCACATTCATTTTTTCTCAGCAAAACATGTTCCACAAACATGAAATCGCCCAAGTGGCCTCGGTCGACCACATCACAAAAGATATTCACAGAAAATGTTATTCTTTTTCATCCTTCCAAGCTCTTTAGGTTGGATGCTGCAGATATCACCCACCTCCAACTGTCTTTGGGACTGGCATTTTATTTCCAGTTGGTGACTCAAAGTGTTTGTAGGTTTGCCTTACATTATCATCTCTCTGCCATTTTCCGGATCTGCCTTGGGGACAACTTCGACTGAACACTTTTGTGTATACAGTTTGTGTCTTTGTTATCTGCCATTTTCTCTACACCCCAACCACTGCAGTCTGTTAGCCTTATGATACCAGTAAGTTGTGGTGATTTAAACAGATTATGAATTTCATTGTTACTTCTCACTCTCTGTTCTCAGCTGTTTACAACTTTAATGTGAAAATAAATAAGTTGATACTTGCACTCCTTCCTCAAGATTTGTAACAAACAAAAGAATACCTTCAGCAGATCCTATGCTGCCATGAGATTTTTGCAGGTTGTCTACTTCTTGCTGAAATTCCTTTCCACCTGCTCTCTGAATAGCTTGACCTGGAAGAGACGCCAACCATCATCACAGCTGATTAATGCGCTATAGCTTTTTATTTCACTGATCATACTTACTCTTTTTTTTTTCTTTTGGAGTTAACAAAGCAGGCAGAGAGAGAGAGGGATCATTCTGCATGGGCAACAAATGGTCTCTACAATACTATCCGGTCTTTTTGCTATGGATTGGAGGAGTTTCATCCCTGGCTTCAATAGGGCTGTAGTTCTTCCAACTCCCTGCAGCACAATGGGACACTAATGCCTGGACAGACAGGAAGGCAGCAACAATATACCTATCTTGAGTGTTAGAGAGAGCTGAAATGTGATGTGGAACCTGTTCTGATGGATGGCTAAGAATCTTGGAAAGTGGATGAATAAATTAGAATATGACAAAAGATGTGGTTTCTCTGCGAATAGCTGGAGAGACAACTAAAACAACAGCGGTGATTTTCTGGCCCTTTGTGCGGTTGAACTGACAAAATTATGAGACCTGATCAAATTAAACTTACCCACTGGTGTTACCACAAATGTAAAATGATATATTAACAAGTGGGGCAGAATGAAACTAAAAGAGCAGCAAACAAAGGCATCATAGTAGTGAAGTGGCTAAACAATCACTGTCCAGCCCAAAGGCCTTGGACTTAAATCCACATTGGGTCAGATTTGTTCTTGAAACTGACCTTGAATTCCCAACCTGACCTAGTCTAAAAGTGTTGCCAGGTTTTGTACTGGGAAGTAAAGACAACTAGCACGACATTGACCTTATAACTCAACAAGTGCTAATAATTAGTCTATTAAAACATGAGTTTGGCATAATATTTACACATTTTTCATCTATCCAAACCCAAAAGCTGTTTTTGGCATTTTGGCAAATAAAAATAACCGCAAGTTGAAAACAATAAATGGTCATCCAAAAGGACGTTAAGTAAAGGGAGTTGCAAATGAGCTTGGTCTCTTACTAGATACGCCTGGCCATAAATGGAAGGGAACAGATTCAGGAGCACATTAGAAGACACAAGGGCTAAATTCTGCAGAAACCAAACTGGACAGAGTATGAGCTAGTTCACAAAACCATCAGGAACCTAAGAAAAACAAGAACACACTGGGACACAGACAGGAAGAAGCAGTGTATCTATCAGGTTAGGGACACAAAGCCATCAAGCTAATACACAAACCTCAAAATTAGCTAAACACTTGGTGCAAACAAATTAGACAATAAATATAACTGAAGACTGCTGGAAACTTTGATGCCAGCAGCATGTTGAATGTTATCTTTTTAAATTATGTCTAAGATGGAACTGGAATAACGTGCCCGATATGCCACTGACACAAAAAAGGTCCTTTACTTATTTAATAGGAAGCAAGCATGCTCTGCCAGAAACAGCTGCTGCAGACACTGGGACATTTGTTTCAATACTTGTGTCACCATGACGAAAGACCCGAACTGGTAGTGTTTGAGCCACTTGCTGATTACAAAGCAGAGACTGATGTATTTCTGTTGCAAGACGTGGCAGGTGATGACTCATGGTGCCACCAGTGTGAGCCTGGCAGCAAAACAAATATGATGCAATGACAAATCAGCAACAAAACAAATATGATGCAATGACAAATCAGCAACAAAACAAATATGATGCAATGACAAATCAGCAATGAAACAAATATGATGCAATGACAAATCAGCAACAAAACAAATATGATGCAATGACAAATCAGCAACAAAAGAAATATGATGCAGTGACAAATCAGCAACAAAACAAATATGATGCAATGACAAATCAGCAACAAAACAAATATGATGCAATGACAAATCAGCAACGAAACAAATATGATGCAATGACAAATCAGCAACAAAACAAATATGATGCAATGACAAATCAGCAACAAAACAAATATGATGCAATGACAAATCAGTAGCAAAACAAATATGATGCAATGACAAATCAGCAGCAAAACAAATAAGATGCAATGACAAAATTTGCAACAAAAACAACCACCCCCCCCCCCCCCAACAGTTTTTTTTTAATTCACAGGTTTTTTCACTGACAGTATCTGCTGTTTCCCTAAGCAGTGGACTGCATGTCTCATTGCCTCAAAATTCTCTTCTGATGATCCCTGGTACTTTCTTATCAACAGCTGCTGTAATTTACCTATGACCTGCTTATATACCTTTCACACTTTATAATCACATCACAATCCTGGTAAAAGCATATTTAAACATCTTATCATCTGTGAGTTGGGAAAAGGAAAGTGAGGGGGGGGGGGGGGAATCGCACAAGAGCAGCAAATTAAAACAACAAATACAATTTTAAAAATACTGAAACAAAACAAGTTAGAAAAAGATAACTGACCAACTAAAAGCATAAATTATTAAATTTGTTCTAGCATACTTGACAATAACTTTTCTAAGACAGAACTGAGGTAGTAACCAGACAGAAGAACATACCTACTTGCCCACCCAAATGATAATTGGAGCTGGTTGGGTGGACTATGGCATCTGCTGACATCTTCACCAAGTCTCCTTGCATCACTGTCAGCTTATGTGGGATAGAGACGAGAACAGTGCAGTTTTATCATCATCCTGAGTTCTTTACAGACAACTGCTTTTGTCAAAATCCAGTGGAAAGATTCTTTCTCATTTCCCCCATCTGGTGCATCTGTATGCCCAGGATTTCTTTAATATTGTATTTTTATTACTGTGTTGGTTGATCCATTGCTCCTTTAATCAGGAACCACGTCTTTCATTCTTGATGTTTCTAAATCTTCTTCTTATTGTCTCTACTCCTGGAATGTCTTGCGTCATCAGGGCAGGAAGAGATCCTTGAATCCCTTCCATTCTTGATGTTTCTAAATCTTCTTCTTATTGTCTTTACTCCTGGAATGTCTCGCGTCATCAGGGCAGGAAGAGATCCTCGAATCCCTTCCATTCTTGATGTTTCTAAATCTTCTTCTTATTGTCTTTACTCCTGGAATGTCTCGCGTCATCAGGGCAGGAAGAGATCCTCGAATCCCTTCCATTCTTGATGTTTCTAAATCTTCTTCTTATTGTCTCTACTCCTAGAATGTCTCGCGTCATCAGGGCAGGAAGAGATCCTCGAGTCCCTTCCATTCTAGTCGGTTCGTGAGATCTCTTCATCGGTTTGTTTTAAACTTCTTAAAAAAGTCACACTTGAACTAGCCACATTCAGACTAGTTTAACACATCTTCCACTCTAGGATGTCTGAAACTGACTCCGGTTAGATGCTGGCCGAAAGATTAACATCCCCTTGTCTCGCCATCTTGACCGGGAAGTCTTTGTAAATCACTGGGATTATATGGTGAAAGTGTTTTGTATCCCAGACTAGATATTGAGTGGAAGCCCCCATTGGTCAGATCTGCAGAAATGTCCAGTATTTGCTCAGCTTAAATACAGAACAACTATCATCAACATGTGCCATGCTGATAAGCACTGGTGGTGACAGTTGGTTATCTCACAGGATCATTGGCGTCATGGAGCACGTCATGTTCTTTCTTGTCCAACCCAAACCATGCACCTAAGATCTCCTTTTTTCCTTTTCTCCAACAAATCTGAACTCTCTAATCAGTTTAGTTTTCAGCTTGCCTTGAGGAGCTTGGTCTCATTTGTTATTTCCGCCACTCATCATCATCATCATCCTCCTCATAATCCACTTCTGCCCTCTGCCGTTAAGCACCATGTGAAGGAATAATTTGCGATCCAGTGCATGTAGCCTGCCACAGGCTATCGTTATGCTGTCAATCCATATATTTTTCGTGGCCTTCCTCTTGCTCTTGTATCTGATCTTCTGATATGTAGTGCCTGTGATGGTATTTCATCTTGCTGCATTTTAACGAGATGCCCAAAGCACTTGATCTGCCGTTTCTCAATAAATCTAATACAAGATGTTGTTGCCACAAGCTGTCTGATGGTATTATTATTCGCTGAACCTAAGGTTTAGACAAGAATGTGCCTGCGTACTGTCTATATTTCACGTGCATACAACAACACAGCTTCAATAAACAACGTCACCCTTTCAATCAGGAAACACTAAAATAAATTGGCCATGACCCTATTGGAATAAAAAAAAAAAATAACTTACAAATTATTTGTTTACACAGTTCATACTAAGGTCAACATAATAAACAATTATTTATTTTTCAATTATGTTAAATATATGAAGATATATAGTATGAAATGAAAGTATGAAAAAACATATGTATTGGGCAACTCACACCATGATCTCAGTCAATGAGACATGGAAACATTTGATGTCAACTTAGCTTTAAAAAATGCGATTTGTCTCAAAGGACACCCACCCCCGCTATTTTTAGTTATTGTATTTATATCAGCCAGAAAGAAAACTGCTCACAGAGATGTCTGGCACCTCTACACCCAAAGGCAGAAGAGGAGCGACTAAGTATGTAAGTAAGAATTCATATCCTGACCTCCTAAATGTTTGTGCAGGTATGAACACAGCCAATAGCATTAACTATGCGTATCGTGAACAGGTCACTATAGATGAGCCAGAAAAGTGACATTTACAGGCAACTGGACCCAAACTTAAGTGTTCGTTTTGTGGCTTAAAGACAAGGTTAAACACTCTTTTACTCACTTCAGTTGACATCCTTAGTTTTATACATTTTCCCTGTGTGATTGTGTTGTATGACAGGACCAATAGCATACATAGTAAAGTATCTACAGTAAGGTTACACTTGAATCACACATACTCGAGCAGTGGTCTAAAACCCTTCAGTATATGGTAAGACACCCCCTACCCCATGCTCCAACAGTTTTAGCCTCTCTAATTACAGTTCCTCTTAGGCTTTCTTTTGGGTGTCTTCATCTTCTTAATTCATCTATTTCCCATTGTAATGTCTTCTTGGTGATTCTATGCTGGTTTCTTCTCGGGATGTGTCCAATGTAGCACTATCTTCTCTGTCTTATAACTGTTGATAGTGGTAGTTGCCCAGACATTTCTCTTATTTCTTCACTCATTTTGAATTCATCCCATTTTATTTTCACAATTTTCCTCAGGCATTTGTTTTCAAATACATTTAACTTTCGTTCCATGTCTCTAGTGGTTCCCCAACTTTCACCGGCATATGTTAAAACTGAAATAACATTAGAGCTGAAAATATATAATTTGGTTTTAAAACGAAATAATTTAAAGTTCCATATTTTGTTCAAGCTATTGAAAGCTGCTGATGTCTTGCTATATTACTTACTTTTTGGCCTAGGAATAATTTTTTCTCTGACAAGGTCAGAAACCCTCCACTGCCATCTGGTATGGAATCAGCCTGAAATGTGGTGTCCATAGTCAGTTAGCACAATGTGATTTCTGCCTTTGTGGTCATATTATTGGCACATGGAATTATGAGAACAGGAGTTAGCAAATGATGTGTTAATGTATCTTCAGACATAATAATGGAATTGTAGATCACTTTAAACATCCACAAACATAGACGACACAATATAATTACTATAACTGTTTGAAAGCAGACTTAAAATCTATTTAACCTGACAATCTATACTCCTACAATCTTATACAATCAACAGATTAGCTATGCAATTTTGAATTTTAAAAAAATTTAACTGAAAAGCACAAATATCCATTACTGAAATAGAAAAAAATATGTATATTCTAATTACAACCTGGATGGGCTGAACAGGATATTGCGGTTTAAACTGCTACTACTACTAGCACATGGAACCATAGTAATGGCTAGAAATGCCTGCTGGCTGAAGTTCAAGGTTTGAATCCACATTAAGGGAGATTTGCATAATTTACCTGATACATTTACTGGTAGCTGAAGACAATAATAACAAATAAAACTACATATTTGAGGTGTTTAACTTTACTGGTGCCTTTCTTAAATGATCTAAACTGACACTTATAAAATGGGCCGACGGAGTCAAATGACCAAATGGTGTGCTCACAATGCTATAATATTGGTTCTTATAACCAAGCACCAAGTTTCAATATCAGAAATATCAGCTGAAGATTTCTGTTTCAACCGAGAATTAAAGTTAAAGTTAAATAAAATCTCCCCAGGTGTGGGGGAAAGATCAGACCACTGCCCCTTCCCCCTCCCCACACACACTGAGCATGCTGTTAAAGTCAATTAAGGGTGAGATGTGAGGAACCAATAGTCTGCATACAAATAAGCTAGATCTATAAAATGGATGTGCACACACAACTCAGGTTCTAGAATAAGACTAACGTCAAAAAGTAGACTCCCCCCACCCAAAAAAAAAAAAAAAAAAAAAACCCCAGACCTTTCTGCTGGTGTTTACAGCTGGTTTAGGGGAAGAAGTTAAAATCAAGAGGAATGACTCAACTGCGCTTAGTTATCCTATACAGCTTGGTCATTCTTTGCACAATGACAAGCTGCCTGCCAAAAGCATTGCACAAAGCATCAACTACGTAGATGCAGTGACGATCCCCAGAGGATCTTGGCAAAACTAAACTCGTGAACTGAATGATGCATTTTGAAACCAGAACATTCAGAGCATGGGGCAAACAGCTTGTCCAATTTGTCACAGAAACCCTATAATTCAAAATTAGTTTACTAGAGAAACCCTGGCAGATTATGCCAGCTCATAGGTTTCTGGATGAGCAAACAAATGAAAACAAACCAAAGATGTGTGGCCTTGGAATACACAAGAAGTTACGACAAGTACTGCTGATTGCAGACATGCTAAGCAATGATGTCAAACTAGGGAATCCAGCAAATTACAAACCCAGGTCACTGCAAATGCAATATTTTGAGGAAATGAATGACCTCTTGTGAATTGCGAATGCAAGTTCAATCCCAGCTACAGGTATCTAATGGGGTCTCCAGTATAATGTAAGTTATTTATACAACGATGCGGTAGAGGATGGTAAACATACTGCAGAGTGGCCAATGCAGTTATGGGGACCAACCACGTATCTTTAGGGATAAGTGGATACCTCTGGGGTGCCTTCTGTTGTTGGAGTATCACTCACTTTTCCTAGCAATCTAAAAGGCTAAGAACATATCTTAAAGCCAGGGGAAAAGCAAGGGGAAATACCACATTATTACCCTCAGAAACTCATCAAGTAAGCCAAAATAATAGCAGAAGGCGTGGTACTAGGAAACAGAGGCAGGGGCCATCCAACATGAAGATAGGCAAAGGATATAAGTGAAACCTTAGGTAGGAAAGTGCACGAGGAAAAAGGGAGGGGGGTGGGCTGGGGAGAATTTGAGTTTCTTTCAGGCAGACTGTGATGAGAGCAACATTCTGCAAAGGATTTGCTACATGATGGTGATGATTTACACCATGACCACAAACAAGTATTGTTAAAAAAAAAAAAATCAAAAAAAAAAAAGAATCTAATAATTAGATGGTTTGGTACACACAAATAAATACATACACACACAAATTAACCTCCTAGGTTCTTGATGGTCTTAGATGTAAACAAACACAAAAAACGTTCAAAGTTTGTGATGTTGCTGTCAACAAACATGCACGTTTGCCAATACATAAACTGTATACCTTCTTTGGCTTTCCTTTGAAAGGTAAAGAGCTAACAGCTGGGGCAGCCTTCACCTTTTTGACTACGGGCTTGGTTGCTGCTACCTTTGCTTTTGGTGCTGTTGTAGCTTTTGATGCTGTAGATTTTCCAACTGTTATTGGTGCAGTTGCTGTTGCAGCTGCTGTTGCTGCCTTCTTTCCTGGTGACACCTTAATCAAATTTGGGTGTATTTTTGGCACCACACCTCCCTGGGCTATAGTAACATGCTTTAAAAACTGAGGGAAAAAAAGACATGGGTTTAACAGCTTGACTATAGATTGTACAAGAATTTTAAAAAATATAATTTTAAAATAACTTGTTAGTTGTCTTTCCTGAGTTGCGTAGCATAGCTGCTTATTTACTGGCCTGAAGGTTCTTCATTCCAATCTGCATATACTTTTTCAGATCTGATCTTGGCTCCTCCTCATGTTCCAGGACCCCATTGTGAGGAAATCAAGAAGAGACCCACTGCCTGCCCAACAAGCATGTTGTAAGAGTTGGCTAGCTGGGAGCTTCCTTCAAAGTCGCAGTGCATCCGCCTGAGAGGCAAGGAGCCAACAGTCTACAAAAAAATGAGTCAGATCTGTTAAATGAATGTGCACACAACATTTAGGTTTTGGAACAGGACTTAGAGTCCAGAAGTGGACGAACAACCAGAATTTCTGCTAGAGTTTACAGCCGGTAAATGCGAAGAAGAAGAATATCTTTTAGGTCAGCCCCAGTCTTAAATGGGTACCACATAATGTTCTGGGATCCCTAAAGGGTGCAGCCCATAATAAGTGAAAGGCTCAGTATACACAAGTGAGGTTAAGCAGTCATGTCTAGGACGTGATACTTCCTTGGGTGAGCCCAGGTACCAGAGTGCCATGTATCGGCTCTACATTAATGGAAGCCTCCCTAGATAGCGGGGAATGCCCATGCTCTGCCCTGCCTTACCTTGAAGGTCGACCTTGGATAGTGGGGAATGCCCATGCTCTGCCCCTGCCTTACCTTGAAGGTCGACCTTGGATAGCGGGAAATTCTCATGATCTGCCCTTGCCTTACCTTAAAAGTGGACCAATCAGCATGCAGCTGTCTTGGACAGGACTACTAGGAACAAAACCTGAGGTTCAGGGGATGACGAAGTCACGACACACATAAGGCGACAGATGTCTCACAAGATTATTTAGGAAGGCTAACATAGATAATAAATGCCCAAAGAAGTCAGATGAGTCAGCCGAAAAGTACAAATATGGCAGCTACACTGTGAACAGGCACAACACATTTACATCACTTAGACAAACGATGAAGAAGAAGAAAAACAGAAAGAAAAATGTTATTTTCATTATTTATGTTTTATTCTTACCTGATGCACTTCTTCATCATTAGCGATCGCGAGAAAGATGTGTCTTGGGGTTATCCTGGCACGCTTGAACTCTCTAGCAGCATTTCCTGCCAACTCCATGACTTCAGCTGTAATGTATAAATATGTATGTACGGCAATTATGATTACGATGAAGAATCTTGACCACTGCACTAACAACAAACATAGATCACTTGGAGAAAGGATGGTTACAAATTTCAATAAGTGACCTGGACTTCTTTTCCTTTGTTTTTGAAAGGATGGTTGACACACTGTGCTGTGGTTTAAAGCTAGACTGTGATATCTGTGTGCTTTGGCCCAGCATGTCAGCAAGTCTTTAATTAACTGCCTTTTACACCATGCTTGTTAAGGTGCAGTGGGTCCATTCTTGTCTTCTCCAAAGATTGGGCTCTGGAATCCACAAGGGAAGCTTGGAGTTTATACTAACATTCTTCACAATCTGAATATCAAGGGGGAACTGGCTTATAAAAGGTAGTTTTCTACAAACTGGAATATCTAGGGGGACTGGCTTATAAAAGGTAATTTCCTATAAACTGAAATATCTAGGGGGACTGGCTTATAAAAGGTAATTTCCTATAAACTGAAATATCTAGGCTTATAAAAGGTAGTTTCCTATAAATTGAAATATCTAGGGGGACTGGCTTATAAACAGTAGTTTCTTGTAAACTGAAATATCTAGGGGGACTGGCTTATAAACAGTAGTTTCTTGTAAACTGAAATATTTAGGGGGACTGGCTTATAAACAGTAGTTTCTTGTAAAGTTAAATATCTAGAGGGACTGGCTTATAAACAGTAGTTTCTTGTAAACTGAAATATCTAGAGGGACTGGCTTATAAACAGTAGTTTCTTGTAAACTGAAATATCTAGGGGGACTGGCTTATAAACAGTAGTTTCTTGTAAACTGAAATATCTAGGGGGACTGGCTTATAAACAGTAGTTTCTTGTAAACTGAAATATCTAGGGGGACTGGCTTATAAACAGTAGTTTCTTGTAAACTGAAATATCTAGGGGGACTGGCTTATAAACAGTAGTTTCTTGTAAACAGAAATATCTAGGGGGACTGGCTTATAAACAGTAGTTTCTTATAAACTGAAATATTTCTGCCATATTAAATGTTATAATGGATTGGACAGAACAGTAATGTACAGTATGGTTTCTGTGAGATGAGGCAAGGGTCAACCAGAATGACAGTGGACACAGGATGTCAAGGACACTTTGGGTATGAAAGTTCACAAAGTAGGAAAGCTGGCAAGGACCAAGTGGCTTTCCAAATTTCTGCGAAGGAAATGATGTAGTTTACATGAACTAATACCTGATGCAAAATATTATGAGTTTATGTTAAATTGTGGTGAAGCCATGCAATCGTTATTAGTCTGTACTGCTGTCAGAAAAAAAAAACTTTTCGATTGCCTTTTTGCACCAACCTAAACCACATGATGATGATGTCAAGCAAGATTACGCAGTTCTACTTTTTGATATTTGTTCTCCATTCAATTTGATAGAAAATATTACAAGTTTATGTTAAACAGTTGTGAAGCTGTGGCATTTTTTTTAGTAGACACTGAAATGTGTGGTATCTGGGAAAGTGCAAGGGGTAACAGCTTTGGTAGTCAGTGGGTTGAGAGTTACATAGTGGTGAAATAAAAGAGTACTTTGTGTACAATTTGTATCTTATAAAAACAGAAACAAAACGACCTGTGAGAATGGCGACGTGACAGAACTAACCGACAAGATAGTCGATGACTGCGGCCAAGTAAACAGGCGCCCCTTCTGAGATACGATAGCGGTGATGTGTGACTCTCCGCAGCCCCCTCCACAGACGAGTTATGGGGAAGAAGACGCCAGCCCTGGCGGATCGTGGTATTATCTTCCTGCCTCCTCGGACGTAGTACCTAGACATGTTGTCTGGAGGAGGTTGTGTCGCTGCAGGCTGGTGTTTGGTGATGAAAAATATTTAAACGCACAACCCAGCCGCAATCCAGCGGTCTCTAGGAACGACCCTGCCCACTTTCTGCCTGGAATCAATTCAACCGACCACACCTACCTAGGTGGTTTTCATGGAGACCGGTTGTTGTATCAGCAGGCCCCCCCCCCCTTCTCTCTCTCTCTCTCTCTCTTTTCTCTCCCTCCTCCCCTCCCCCATCCGCCTGTGCTACTAGGTGCACCGGAATGTAGTGACCTTGAGCCATACCCACACACCAACTATTCAAAACTATCATACAGACGACCGCAGAAAAAGTCACAAATATTCACACAGCCACCATTCCAAAATCAGATGAAGAATCACACACAAAATTGCTAAAAGCTTTATCACAGTACAGACTTTTAATATGGACCTGTAGGAATTAGGTCACTGACTAGTTTAGAACTTACAGTAGATAATTATTCCTACTAATCAATAACTAAAAAATAAAGGATTTATTCCCCCCCCCCCCCCCAAGACCCTACAATTGATTATAGTTATAGCAAGGCATTTGAGTGTGTCCAACACCACAAACTGTGGACTATTATGAAAGGTATGGGTTTTCCAGCGCATTTCGTGCATTTAATTGAAAGTCTTTATCATGAACAACAAGCAACCATCAGAGCAGCTGGTGAAACATCTGATTGGTTCAAGGTGCAAAAGGGGTGAGGCAGGGGTGCATTCTCTCACCATACATATTCAATATATACGCAGAAAATAAGCGCCACGACGGATTGAAAAAAAATATAGCAGAAGCGGGTAGAAAAGAGGGGCTGGCGAGAGAAGACCAAGTTTCTTTCAGGCAGTACACTGTGATGAGAGCGACGTTTCTGCAAAGGACTGCTACATATGATGATGAGACGCTACAAAACCCCAAAACAGCGCGAGTTCACTGTATATACATACTGCCATTATCATCACCATCATTATAAATGTATTCCACAATTTTTCTTTTTAAATACTTCAGATTTAAAACAAAATGGTATATATATATATATATATATATATATATATATATATATATATATATATATATATATATATATATATATATATATATTCTGCAGTCATTATTTGTGGACCATCATTGTTGCTCTGCAGTTCTACATCTGGTCTATTAACATCATACAATTCCCCTATATACTCTGCCCATCTGTTAAGTATATTACTATGTCCCATTAATAAGTCACCATCTTTTGATTTCAAACATCCAGTGCTGTTAGGTGTCATCTTTCCTGTTAACATATTTATCTGTTTGTATATGGAATGTGGGCAGAACAGTCAAAGAAGCCAACGGCGCCTTATCCGTGACAACCAGCAGCATGACGATGGAGGTGATGGCAGTGACGCAAGCGTTTGCCTGGCTTGAAACACAAAAATACACCCGTGTATGTATACTCAGTGATTCAATGAGTATGATCCGGAGGGTTCAGGCAGGTTCAGTGCGAAGACAATGGCTTGAATCATTACAGAAGTCCACTGTGCGTGGAGTCACCTTTATTTTTGTTCCGGGATACGCAGGCGTGATGGAAATGAAAGAGCTGACAGGTTGGCTGGATCCGCTATCACTACCGACGGTCAGCCTATGGATCATGCTGATATTATCAATGCCCTCAGAGAAATGGGAAGGATAGAGGACTTTGGTGGCAGTGAATCCACATCACTCGCCAGAATGGCAGACTTGGGAATTAAGATCGGCACAGCAAAAAACGAGACGCACACCAGACACGCCAGAAGACTTGTTAATCAACATAGAACTGGTACTATTAGCCATCGGACGTTGGGGTTCATACTGAGGGGAGGATCTGAGCACTTATGGACATGTCCGGAGTGCAATGAGGATAACCCAAACTAGCTAACTAACTAACTAACTAACTAACTAACTAACTAACTAACTAACTAACTAACTAACTAACTAACTAACTAACTAACTAACTAACTAACTAACTAACTAACTAACTAACTAACTAATGTGAGTCTTTCCTGTGATTTTCCCCAATCTCTGTACAAATTTGATTCAGCCAGGCTTCTTTAGCCACTTTGCATTTGTTCACTATTTCGTTTTGTATTCTAGAGTATTCTTCTTTATCATTCTTTTTCTTCCTTCTTTCCTCCATCAACTGCAGAATTTCGGTTGACATCCATTTCTTTTTCGAAACTCTATGGGTTGGTGGGATTGTCTCTTTAGATGTCTGCTGAATTGACTCACGCAACATTTCCCACTGTTCATCAATAGTTTGTATAATTTCCATTGCATTATACCGGTTTTGTACAATGACATTGTACTGTTCCTTAATTTCGTTATCCCTTCTAAGAATTCCTAAATTTAACTTGATGTTCTGTGGTGTTTTTCTAATGTTCTTTAGTTTTATTATAATTTTTCCTACAACTGGAACATGGTCTGCAGTTTGCTCCTGGTCTAGTTTTTGCTCCAACTAAGCTGCTCCGGAATCTTCTTGAAATAAAAATATAATCAATCTGATTGCGGATATTATTACCAGGACTTTTCCAAGCCCACAATCTTCGAGGATTGTGTTTAAACCAGGTGTTACCTATTATAATGCTGCTGCATTCTTTTCTCCTAGGCCATAGCCACCCGTTATTCCATACACTTTTTCACTTCCTATTTTCGCGTTGAAATCTACAAGTACCATTGCTACTTTACAATTTTCATAAAATGCATAAATATGATCAATATGTACTAAGTTGATGTCAAACAGTCTGCCGCGAAGTTTTACTAATGGTACGCTATCTGATATTGTCCAAAATCCTTTCACAGTTTTTAAGTTCTTTGGATCCAAAATAATACCAACTCCCTTACTATATTCCTTCCCACCCGAGTAAATAATTATGTACTGATCTGAATACTTCTCCCCTGCTCCTGGCCATCGCATTTCGTTTTGTACGAGTATATATATATATATATATATATATATATATATATATATATATATAATGCTTAGAATACATTGGACAGCCAAAAAGAGCAACCAAGAGGTTTGAAAGAGGCGGGAGCCCGAAGACAACTTATCACAGATATCAGAAGGAGAGAGTCAGATGCATAACTGAGATAAGAAACAGAATAGGACAGGCAAAAACTGCATTTTATAAAATGAAGAATATCTTGTGCAATATATCCTTGTCATTGAGGGTTAGAAAAAGAATTCTTGCTTGCTACATACATCCAGTTTTAACATATGGCTGTGAATCCTGGACAATCGGAAGGCAGGCCAAACAATTTCTTGAGGCCTCAGAGATGTGGTTTTACCGACGAATGCTTAGAATACCCTGGACAGCCAAAAAGAGCAACCAAGAGATTTTTTAAAAGGCGGGAGCCCGAAGACAACTTATCAGAGACATCAGAAGGAGACAGTCATCATTTTTCGGTCATGTTATAAGAAGAGGGAAAATAGAACATGTTGTGACGACTGGAAAGATCTGTGGAAGGAGTGATAGAGAAAGACTACGAGAGAAGATTCTTGACAGTCTTTTTTGGAGGTGTGTCGGCACACGAACTGATACATGTTGCAGGAGATCGTGGATTATGGAGAGGCATGATCGCCAACGCCAGTCGGCAAGGCACCTGATTATATATATATATATATATATATATATATATATATATATATATATATATATATATATATATGTGTGTGTGTGTGTGTGTGTGTGTGTCCAAATATGTATGTATGTATATTTATTAGGGCTGTACCGAATAGTTATTTTCACTATTCGGCCGAATACGAAAAACGGGACCAACTATTCGGCCGAATATGAACACGAATACGAATAGTGTATAAAATATTAAAAAAAAAAAAAAAAAAACAACCGCACATTCATGATGTCAAATGTACGCTGAACTTTTACTTCACATAAAATAGCACAGAATAGTCATCTTCTCTTTAGCATTCTGAGCCCTTGAGGTTTACTGCTGCAGATATAACTCATCTCTATTAATCTCTCTAGCTGGCCTTCTCTTCACAATTTGTGACACCAGTTGTTTGCAGGTCTGGCTGGACATTATTTCTAGAGCTTCTTTTTTGTCTGCCTCGTGGTCTACGATCATTCCTCTCTCAGGTGTATACAGTTTTACTTCTCTGTCATCTGACATTCTTTCAATATGCCCCAACCATTTTAGTCTGTTAGCTCTCATGATGCCAGTGATCAATGGTGATTTTAACAGATTATGTGTTACGTTGTTGCTTCTCACTCTCCATTCCCCGCTGTTAGCATCTTTAATGGGTCCAAAGATTTGTCGCAAGACTATTTTCGCAAACCTGTAATAAGGCCTCATCTCTTTTATTTCTGCTTCAAGTTTCAGAGCCATTTAAAACGACTGGTCTTATCAACGTTTTATATATTTTGATCTTGGTGTTGCGAGACAGACACTTTGACTTTAGCAGATGTTGAACGAATAGTATACTTTATTTCTAGATTATATTCTAGATTTTAATTCTTCTCTCAGCATGTTGGAGGAGTTGAAGTTTGCACCCAAGTACTATATGTTTCCGTTCGTTTGATTTTCATATTATCCACGTGGATGAGGCCGGAGTTTATATTCTTTCAATGTCTAGTTAGTATTCGTTCAGAACAGTAAACATTTAAAAACATTTTTTGTTTTGCACCCTTCAGTCAGTCTGTGGTAACTAACAACTAGGAATGAAAGAATCCTAAGTTTTATAACAAGTAACTAAACTTGGAAATTGTCACTGACAGCTCAGTTAATGCATGAAAGCTGTTTTAGCTTTCAACTAAACCAATCGTTCCATGTTGTCAGTATTAAGGCCGTGTATGCAGAAGCGGGTGTAAGGTAACTACTATTCGTATTCGGCCCGACCGCAACTATTCGACAGAATACCCAATAGTCAATAGGTACACCATTCGGCCCCGAAGTGAATACGAAGCGAATATTCGGTTAAGGTTAGTTGCGTATCCTTCACAGGACGTTGCAGAACCAACCCCAACAGCCCCTGGCTGTTGTGTGGTTTTTCTAGGCAAATTTACGTCCAGTAGTTTGCCATTGCTTCCTGGACGGTCGGCTTTCTTGATACCACTGTCGAAACCAACACAAGGCGCATGGCTCGCACCTGGGATCGAACCCGGCATCCGGGCATTACGAAGCGTTCGCATCGACTTAGCCACAGAGCCGACTGAATATTAAGTACAGTCCTAATATTTATGAATTTTTGTGTGCGTATATGTATGTATATGTAACTGCATTGTGTGTGTAAATTTCTCTGTATGTAAATGTATGTATATGTGTGTATTTAAATGTATATATGTGCATGTGTGTACACCCCTGTGTGTGTGTGTGTGTAATTTAAAAAAAAAAACATTGAATTAATTTACTATCATCATCATCAGCAGCAGCAGCAGCCAATTATTATTTTGTGTCTTTTTGTGTGTGTCAGTTTCTTTGGTTTCTTCCCATCCGTACTTCCTCAATCTCCCCATCCTCATCATTCTTCTACTTCTTTTATTATTTTAGTCAGAAGAGTTCACGCGATGTGCAGCAGATGCTAAGACTTAATGAGCACATTTAAGCTCTCAAGCTCCCCTACCACTACAAGGTAATGGCCTCTGGGAAGGGGGGGGGAAGGCTGTGCATAGATTAAACACACTGTTTACCGTTATTTTACGAATTCCCCAGCTGCATTCCTTCCCGTGTGGGTTCCGGGTGCTCATTGTGGGTGTGGAGGTGGGCATGGGGAAGGACCCATTGCCCTCTAACAAGCACGTAGTTAAAAAAAGACTAACTGTGTTACCTTTTAAGTGCAAGTACATCTGCCTGAGGCAAGGAACCAAAATTCTGCACACAAATAAGCCAGATTTTGTGGCTGTTTAGTTTGTGCTTCTGTCTTTCTACTTTCTATCTATGAGTGCCGATCAATAAACTTTCTGTTACGGGATTAATTGATAATATTTAACGGCCTCATATGTTACACCTCTTTTTATTTATAGGAATGACAGATCTGTGAAGCGGATGAGCACATAGAACTCAAGCTCTATAACAAGACTGAAACAGAGTAGCGTGAGGCGGAGTGGGACCTGAATGTAATAAATTCCCAGCCAAACACATCTGATTTCCCCGAATCCCCTGTTAGTTTCCATATACAACACGATTGTTAGAGGCAGTGGGTTCCCCCCCCCCCCCTTTTTCCCATTCTCTTATGGGGCACCGTGAGATCCCTCCTTTTTTAACCTAATACACTCCACCCCTTCTACATTTAGACGGCATCATCCGACTTCTGCTACCTTGCGTTTAAGCCCCTGTCTGAAAATAGTTCACCAATGAAAGGAAAGAAGAGGAGAAGCAGCTCATCTGTTTGGTATCTGGTATCCTTGCAAACAATCAATTGACTCAGTGCCTTAAGTGCAGCTTTGTATGCTAGTTCATTACTTGTAAGTTTTTGTTTCGTTACAGAACCGCACCTACTTTTTATAAAAGAAAATGGCTGCTTGTGTCAAGATCAAAAAGTCTAATATACAACATTCTTGTGTCTAGCATTACATTTGACTGTACACTGTGTTGATTATATTTTATTTTATTCACATAGTACAAGCGGAAACGAAAGGTTGGTCAGATTCTCACACGTCTAATATTAAAAATGTTACAAGAGTATTAATTAGTATTGATATTGCAGGGAAAGTTATGTAATGTAAAGTGTCGTTCGTTACATATAATAATGCTATAATCAAAATTGTAATTTAACCCTTTGGAGATAAGAGTTTTTTAATTTTTGGAGTTTCAGTGCCAAAAAGACGAAGCCTTCAGTCTGGGAAGAATTCTACATAATTTACCAGAAACTTTACACTCCATAACTGTTCTCTTTAAGACCACCATGACGTTTAACATGGTCAATGGTCAAAATACCTAAATTTTGATACAGACTGTGAATGCTGTTTATGAGCCAGTTCTCTTCGATGCTCAGTTCATGTAAGATGATGGTGTTTTTCTTCTTTTTTTCCTATGGTATTCTAAGTATTTTTCTGCAGCATTTTTTTTTTTTCAAATGCTCTGGTACCCACAGGACAAAATTCAAGGGGGATATTAAAATTCATGAAAAAGAGTTTAAGACACAAGAGTTAGATGCTTTGGAAAGACATGGATGGGTCTGCAGGTGACAAGAGATAGATGCTATGGAGAGAACATGGATGGGTCTGCAAGTGACAAGAGATAGATCAGGTGACAAGAGATAGATGCTATGGAGAGAACATGGATGGGTCTGCAAGTGACAAGAGATAGATGCTATGGAGAGAACATGGATGGGTCTGCAAGTGACAAGAGTTAGTAGGTTTTGGTGTCAGTTGGTTGAGTGTATCTGCTCCAGCTGAGGATAAAGGACAGGAGTGACTTATGCAGTTTCTGCATCTTTCCTATTATAATTACATAAGGTGTTAACAAATGCCATTTTGAGCTTGTTAGGAAATCTTTTTCTTCTGTATCTAAGGATGTAAATGCAAGGTGTCTGTTTATAATATGGCCGTGATGTTTGCATCTTTCAGCCGACACATCAGACTTCTGCAGGCATTTGTTGCCCAAATTAGCCTTCCCGGTTAGTTTCATGGAACATTGTAGTCTCATCACTGTGTGGTCATCTTTTCTAGTTTACAGGTTCTACTCCCCATGGGGTCAGTCCAGAGCAGCCACATAACGCTGGTCAGCCCTCAAGAGAAGGCAGGGGCAGAACATAAGCATTCCTCGCCATCCAAGGAGTCTTCCATAAATGTAGAGCCAGTACATGATGCCGTAGCACTGAGCTTACCCAAGAAATCATCACGTCCTGCCCATAACTATTAAACCTCACTTCTGTATATTAAACTTCTCATTCATCATGGGCTATTTACTTAGAAGCCAGCAGTAGGCAGCTTGCAGACCTGGGATTTCAATAACCCACACAAAATGAATACTTAGTTACATATGATTAACTTTTGTTTGTTCTTTACACTTCAGATGACAATGATTTTGCGAATGCTGCGGGGAGTCCTTGTTCTAGCTACTTCTGTCCTAGTAATACCTTACACAATAGCTATTGTTAGCAACATCCTGCATGGCTGGCCACAGAGCAGAAACAAATACAGACGGGCATTGAATCCTAGAAAAGTGTTTGGTTTGAACTATGTACTGATTCAGATGCTGAGGGATAAGACTAGGTACATACCTCTCTACTTCAAATGGAAAAAGTTTTATAGAAATGCAGATCCAAGAAGGCTGTACAAGGTAAGTCTGACTCATTTATTAGCTGTAAGGGAACTCTCTATTTCCTCAGCTTTCACCAGCTATAAACTTTGGCCGAAAGTTCTGGCTGCTGGCTAACTTCTGGACATAAGTATTGTTCCAGAACTGGAATTTTGCATGCACATCCATTTTACAGATCTGTGTGTTTGTGTGGACTTTTGGATCATCACCTCTCGGGCAGATGCTCTCCAACTTCTTAGGACATAAGGGAAATGAAATGGGCCAAACTGCAGGAAAGCTGTGAAAATACAAGGTGTAAATCAAGCAACTTCCCTATGTGGGTTCTGGGGGTCCCATTTTGTGGGAAAAAGAAAAGACCCTCTGCCCTTTAAACAAGCATGCACAGAGATCACAGCCTATCTGTAAACCACAACACAATTGTGCTAACTGCCCTATTAAAGGCCAACGCAGAAAAAGAAGAAGAATAGAGAAAAGTTGAATATTTAACTGGTTTTCTTTCTTCTTCTTCGTATAGTCCATGTCAAGTAGCGTTGTTAGTCATGTCTGTCCACAACCTTCTGTCTTGTATGCCTTCAATCACTTTTGACACACATGTTCTTTCATTCCATGATGTCAGATTGTACAGCATCTTCTCTCTTAATCTACCTCTGCCTTTTCCCCTCTCCAACCTTCCCACTGTTACGATGTACTGTAGGAACAGTAGCCAGGGGCAGCCCCCCTGGTAAGGACACAGATGATCCATCATGCCATGATGTCAGATTGTTCAGCATCTTCTCTCTCTGTCTTGTCCCTTCTCCAACTCTCCAAGTCATGCCACATCTGGTTTGCTTTACAAGAACATAATCATAAGTGACAAATATAGATGCAGGAATTACATGAAGCAAAAGGTGCAAAAAAAAAAAAACACACCAAAAAAACGTTATAATTAGATAAACAGTTGTACCTTGAGGCTCTATTGTAAAATTATCCCACAGACATTTGTCACATGTTCTTCAATGTCATAATGCCAGACTACATCTTTTCTCTTGATTACCCTCCATTATCCCCCCCCCCCCCCAACCTCTGCTAGTCTTTGATACCTGTCAGCATTGGGAATCATCTCTTTATCCCCAGCCATGAGATCATTGCCTCAACTCCACCTTGATGCCACTAGTCGGGCACTCTTGATATCCTCAGCCATGAGATCATTGCCTCATCTCCACCTTGATGCCCCTAGCAGGGCACTCTTGATATCCCCAGCATCAATAGTGCCAACTAACATGGCGTGATATTTGAGTTTAACTTTCAACTTTAGTTTGCAGTTTGAACCATTTCCAAGTGATTGTTTATTCATTTTCTTTGTTCTTAGAATTTAGCGTTTGGTAGAAATGATTGTACCCTGGACGTGTACTTGCCAAAAGAACGAGACCCAGAAGCCAGCATGCCAGTGATCGTATTTGTATATGGAGGGGCCTGGAGTTCAGGGGACAAGAGCTCCTATGGTTTACTGTGTTCCAACATTGTTACTGACACACAGACAGTTGCAGTGTGCCCAAACTATTCAGTTTATCCCAAGGTATGTGTCTCTGATTAGTACTCTGATGTGTTCATTTCTACAGGGATAATGTATTGAACTGACCATTAGTTACTGGCAGCATTAAGGTCAATAAACTGATGGTTGTGGCATATAGAGATATCAAGAAAAGATATAAACCCGAATGAAAAGTATATTAGCATATAGAGAGAATGGTCGATGACAGAGAGACAAAAACTTTGTTCACAAAAGAGTTGAATGGGGGTAGACCATGAGTAGACCAAGAAGGTGCTAAAGAGAATGTTATGGCAGACCTATAACCTAATGCCTTTGGAAAGAGAGAGGAATGGATGCGGCTGATATCAACAGTGGCTTGGAATGCTATGATTGTTGGAGAATTGGCTAAAGGAAGAAAGACTCAGGTTTGCTACGATGAAAGGTACGTTCTTTAAAGGACCTGCTGAGTGATGATGAACCAACAAATGCCCATAGAAGTTGGATGTGTTGGCTGTAAGGTACAAATATTGCAGTTCAGCTGTTAACAGATACAATGCAAATACACATACAATGAAATAATATGAAGTAAATATGAACAAAAGGAATCAGTAAAGCAAACACTGCAGTCACTTGATCAGTTGATTCATCATGAAATAGTCAGTTTCTCCATGGCAAAGTGGTCAAGCCATTTGCCTTGCGCTCTGAAGGTTGTGGGTTCGTTCCATGTCTGTTCAGTTCATGAGTGCAGTTTTTATGGAGATCGTAGCTGGAGCTACAGAGTTTGTGCTGTGTGCACTGCTCTCGGTAGGCGGCTAGCCGTTCTGCAGAGAGAGGCCAAGCCATGTGGGATAAAACCCTGTTCAATGAAGTCGATCTTCTTTACTTTAACCTTAGGTTAATAGGCTTTCTAAAAGTATCCAAAAATGGCAGTCAGTACTTCTTACAGAACTGAGCAGAGGACCAGAGCAAGATAGTTATCAGGTGAAGAAATCTACAGACACACTGGTACTGAAGACAACTGCAGAACTAGGTACTATGAAAAAAATGGGAAGTTTTGGGAAGTGATGTGTTTGATAATGGGGGATGTTTGATTGTAAACTGTGTTTTTATTTCAGGGCTACATTGATGACATGATTCAGGATATAGTAGACAGTATTACCTGGGTCATAGACAACATCCACGACTATGGGGGAGATAAAGTGAGTACCTGTTTATATATGCCCGGAATTTACAACAGGTGAACCCAAAGAGGAAGACGTGTCATACAGAAGTAATGACACTGCACTTGCTGCAGGTCCCTGTGTAAGTACTTGGTCTTCAGCTGAAGTCAAGAGATGTTGATTGCCCCTGTTGTTAATTGGTTAGCCACCTTTCAGAATTGTTCACTGTAACAGTTTTCTCACCCGTTTCCCTACTCCAAGATTTAAAATTGAGAAGATTCCTGAGGAGGTGCATCACCTTGTCCAAAGCTGTCATTTCTGTTTCTTTGCCCTTTATCTTATCCTCTATTGTGGATCCTAGGTCCTCTGCCACCTCACACCAGGTCGTGGTAATATTTAATATTATGTACAGCTCACCTTGACTTGTCCATTGTTGGTTGGTTTTTTTTTGGGCTATTGTTTTTACAGGATGAGGTAGCCATACCTTAAGTCCATAATAAACTACAAACATTCATTGTCTGGAATAGATGGAATTAAATGGTATTGATAGAATCACTAATGTAGAGCTTTGGGAGAGAATTAAACAAGTTACCATGGGCCAAGAGGTGGAAGAAAAGAGGCTTGTGTTAGATAGGACAAACATTGAGAAACCCTGAGAACAATACAACTATAATATCTTTACACTGGAAAAAAGGGAGAAGGGAGCTAGAGTTAAAAAGATGGGGAAGACTTGGGGAGTGCTTTTTGTACTAGTGAAGGATAGAACGACTTGGCATGAGTTGGTTGAGGGTCTGTGCTCCAGTGGGGGTTATAAAAGCAGATAAAGACAGCTGACATTGTGTTCTCACCATCTTATTCACCTCGATAGACACAGCTTTGAACCAGTTATTCTCATTACCCAAGTGTCTATCATGAATAATATTCCCTGAGTAACAGTATAGCCAAAAAACCATCAGACAATACTATGAGAGTCACACCATGGAAGAGACTGAGACCTTGGCATGTAATATTCTCAAAGACTGGATGCACCTATTTTCTAAGCCGGTCTATTTTGTGGGGATGGCACAACATTTGATTTAATAATTCAGCTGCTTGTCTACCCAGCCTTTGTATTTTACTAATTTGCCAATTTGTAAATGAAAGAACAAAGTGTTCGTATTGACAGTACTCCCTATGTGGGTATCGGGCCCTATTGTGGGGAAAAAAAAGAAATATACCCACTGCTCCCTTACAAGCATGTTGTAAAAGTTGACGTCTTCTTTTTTTCTTTACGTTCACCAGCTGTAAATTCTGGTGGAAAGTTCTGGTTATTCGTCCACTTCTGGACTACAGTCCTGTTCCAGAACCTGAGTGTTGCGTGTGCATCCGCTTGACAGATCTGACACATTTATGTGCAGACTGTTGGTTCCTTGTCTCTCAGGCAGATGCACTCCGACTTTGAAGGAAGCTCCTAATAAATCGGCTCTTACGACATACTTTTGGTTAGGGCCCCGGAGCCCACACGGGGGTAAAAGTAGACTGATTGAGGATGTTTCCTTCAAAGTCAGAGATTGTCTGCCTGAGAGGCGAGGAGCCAACAGTCTACACACAAATAACCTACATCTGTAAAACTGATGTGCACATAAAACTCAAGTTCTGAAACCGTACTAGAGTCTAGAAGTGGATGAACAATTATAACTTTCCTTAGAAGTTTACAGCTAGTGAATATGAAGAAAAATAATTAGTATTGATGGTACAATTTTCCAGTAATGACACTTCAGACGCCAACATTCCTATTGTTTAGACATCCAGAAAAATGTAAATCAGCATCACTGAACTCTGGTCATTCTTACATGTGCTGCATCCCCTGCTTCAGCAGCCAGTGAAAGGGTCTCTTAGCTAAAGAAAAAAACTCATAGCTACTGAAATGAAATAATTTTGTCATAATTATTAAATTAAATATATATGTGTCTGGGTGTGGGTGTGTGTGTGTGTGTGTGTATATATATATATATATACATGATTGAAAGCCTGCCTGTGTAAGCCTTATGAGATCAGTATCACCCAGAACCTTTGTTCTTTCCCTACCAAATTATTTTCACCAGATATGGATGCTATGTATGAACTGCTCATCTGTTCACCTGATTCCAGAGAACTGTCACCACATCTGTGTTGTTATACAGTTTAAAACAACAAATGTGTTTGTTATGTTTATTTCCTTGTCTTGTGTTTGTATTTAGCAGTATCTTGTTACTTTTTTCCTGCTCTGTTGTTTGCAAACAGGTGTGTGCAATTTGCTTGCTGCTCTAATGAAAGCTGAAGAAATGAAATCTTGCTCTTCTCAGAACAAACTGATCCTACTTGGCCACTCTGCTGGAGCTCACCTGGCCACCATGGCTATCCTTGAACTGCTGCATGACGAAAGACTCAGTGTCAAACCGACCTTCAGATTCCAGCCGGCCGGAGGTCAGTTGGAGCAACTAGCCTTCACAGAGAGCCACTATGGCAAAGTGTCCTTGCTTGCCACTGAGCAGGAAGCTCTGGAGGATAGCTCGGGTTCCTCCGAGTCCTTTGCTGTGGTCAGCGAGAACGGGTCTACTACAGATCAGGGCACATCTGCTGCACTGGAGTTGGGCAGTTCAGCGTCCAGTTTTGTGGAAAGCAGCCAGATATTAAATCTAACACAATCGAAACTTAAATTCAGAAGGTCAGTGTCAGGCTAAATTGTATCTTTACCAAACCATTCATCATATGGTGAATAATATCCCCCTGTGGGTTGGGGGGATACTATATTGGGTGACCCCTGTCACCGAGGCTTACGGGAACATTTGATTTCAGCTTGGCTTTTGGAAAAGCATTTGCTTTGAAGAACACCCGCCCCCCCCCCCCCACAGTAATATTTTTAGTAAATATTTTTAGTAAATATTTTTACATCCTGACCTCATAAATGTTTGCGCTGGTGTGAACACAGCCAGTGTCATGTACTTTTTCTGTCATAAACAGGTCACTGTAGGCATGCAGGAAAAGGGACATTTACAGGGAATTGACCCCAGACAGAAGTTTTGGGGTGACAAGTCAACACAGACCACTGTCTTAGAAAAAACTAGATAAAATGAAAGTAATTGTAATCTTTGAGGCATATAATACATCATCCATGTGAAGTTATAATGTGCTTGGACACTTGAACTTCTGAAAAAAAAAATTTCAGTTCAGATGAAAAGTAGGACTCATCAGCTTTATATCTGTATCTGTATTTGTATATACCAGTCTGCACTCAATGTGTGATATGGTCAGCATCACGCCATATCCCTTTACTTTCCAGGACTTTGCCTGGTATTTATTTAAGGTTTGGTCGACATGGGAGCCAAGGTCCTTTAGAAAAATAGTCTGGCTCCATCAGGAGCTGAACCCACGACCTTTGGATCTGCAGGCAAGCGTCTAGCCACTGAACTTCAGTGGCTTCCCTTCTTCAAAGTACCACCATCACAGAGGACATAGTGAACATTACAGCTAAAAAGCCTTCATCATCACACCACACAAAGTGATACAATTACAAACAAAAATGTAAAAAAAAAAAAAAATCACTTTTGATTTATGAAAAGGTCTGTGATAAAATCTCCATTTATACTTGAACAGCAAAATCCCCGTGTGGCTTCCGGGGTCGCATTGTGGGTAAAATGAGAACAGACCCACTGCTTTCTCAACAAGCATATCATGAGAGTCGACTAAGTGAAGACATTCCTCAATGTTGGAAAGCATCTGCCTGAGAGGAATCAACAGTCTGCATACAAATAAGTTAAATATGTCACTCAGGTTGTGAATGTTGAATTAAGAATCAGCATTACAGCACTGGGGACACTCCCATAAGTGCTCAGTTCCCATCTTCAGCAGCAAGCGAAGAGTTCCAATTCCGATGGTACCTTTAATTGTCTGATTCTATATCCATCTCATCCTTCCCCTGAGTGTTGAGCGTCGGCCAGATCCCCTGGTAACTCCTTGCAGCGCCATTCTCCTCAGACCATAATCTATCTGCTCCTACACACTGTTCACCCATTCCCAAAGGGCCCTCACAATATCTAACTTGTCATACATCAGTTCACCACCAAGTGGTGCAGAACCAGCCAGTCTATCTGTCTGCTCATTTCCCAACACACCGGCATAACCTGGAGAAATTATCCAAAGGATGTTAACTACCTGGGATCTATGAAGTGATGCTTGTCACTCTGCACGAGGCATGCCTGTTTTCACCTTCTCAACATGCTCTGTGAGTCAGTTACAATGACGGCATGTGTGCACAGCTGATTCTCAAGCCATCGGAAGGCAGCAGAGACTGCCTCCACCTGCATTCTCAAACTCAGGTTGTGGAACAAGACTAAAGTCAAGAGGTGGACGAACAACCCAAAATTTCTGCCGGAGTTACAGCAAAGAAGAAGAACAGCAAAGGCTCTGCATTTACCTCGTGGAAAAAATTTCTGAACTTGTACATTTCTTATAAACCATTTCTGTCTTACTTTAATTAAAATTCCCTATCATTGTCAACAAACACCTTATTTGTCATTTTCTGTTGTGATTATCAGGAATGTGTGATCAGCACACAGTACGTTATTTTTAAATGTTGTCTTTGTGTGTTAAGTTAGGTTAAATTAAGAAGTGACATCACATCACTTGGGACATTCCTATAATTGCTCCATACCCCTCTTCAGCAGCAAGCGCAGAGTTCCAGTTCTGCTGGTGGCAGTATCAGTCCGATATTATGTGTCTTGTCTTTTCGTTGAGTGTTGGCCATCTCCCATCATCTGTCTCTGCTGTATCATTCTCTTCAGATGAAAATATTTTGTATAAGGTTGTTCAGACATTACATGACTCCTGTCTACAGGAGAAGGCCAGTTGGACGGTGGGAGAGGTCAGTCGTTGTCAGAGTCAGCTGAGAAAACAGACATGGATACCGGCAAGGGACAGGGAGATGTTGGGGATAAAGGTATAACAGTTGTTGATGGTCAGTCAGGGATGTGTAGGGAGGGGGGGGGGGGGGGGGACACATGTTGTTAATTAAGGTTATGTGGGAAAGAACATTTGGCAGTTAAGAATATGTGGGGGTGAACACTTGTATGTTAGTTAACGCTGTGTGGAGGAGAACGATTGTCTGTTAGTTAAGGATATGTGTGGGGAAGGGGAGGAATATTTGTCTGTTAGTTAAGGATATATGGAAGGAGAACACGTTTCTGTTAGTCGGGGATACATTGGGGAGGGGGGGGGGGTTGAAACTTGTCTGTTAGTTAAGGATGTGTGGCGGAGAACACATGTCTGTTAGTTAAGGATATGTGGCGGAGAACACGTGTCTGTTAGTTAAGGATACATGAGGGAGAACATGTGTCTGTTAGTCAGGGATACATGAGAGAGAACACGTGTCTGTTAGACTGGGAAGACAAGAAGAGACAAAGTTGGCGATTAGAGAATACATCAAGATCTTTAAACTTGGGCTTTACAAACCCGAGTGGATCAGTCACAGTTATGATGGTTTGGACATGTATGCAGAAGGGAAGAAAATCGGCCACCAAAACTGCTCAGGTTTTGTGCTACGGAGAGGAGGAGCTTCATCCCTGGTCTTAATTAACATGACTGGGTTTTGCTAGTCACACTTGTCATCACCACCTTGGGCTGTAATCCCTCTACCTCCCCATACCATAACAGAACAGTATCATCCGCAAAGACAGAAAGATACCAACAGTTGTGGTGTCATGAACAATTTTGTTTTTCTGTCAACAGGAAATGGTGGTGAGGCAGGATCAAGAAGTCATTCAGGAAGTGTGGGTGATGCCGGATCCAGAAGCCACTCAGGGAGTTTGGGAGACGAAGATGAAGACAGCGGTGACAACGATTCTGTGGTCACAGTCAGACCTAAGGACATCGAGAAGCATGCCACCTTGGTGGATGTATGCAAGAGCATTAAGGCATTCATTGGTACGTCTCTTAATTCATAGCTAGTGTCATGTCAAGTACCAGTCATTTTCACCTCATTAGCGCCAAGGGCCAGATATCACTTAATGGGGAACTTAGTGAAACCATGTGGGGTGCTAGTCCTAAAATACTTGGCAAAGTTTATCAACAAAGTGTCCAAGCAAACCTTGAATACGGATCAGCAGCATCAAGTGCAGAATCAAAAAAACCATACTACACGAGTTGGACAAAGTGCAAAATCAAGCACTCAGAGTCACAACAGATGGTAGGAAATTAGCACCTAAAGCTGTGATGGAAAAAAATGGGGATGACCCAAGCACTGAGTGAACACAGAGACACAAAGATGATAATACAAGCAGAAAAGCTTCTAATCATGCCTAGATACCCTGTGAATGAAAGATTCCGAAATCTAGCAATGGGGTGAATAGAAAACAAGAAACAGTTTCATCCACCAGAAAAACCAGTGATCTCCCTGCAACTGATTGCCCCTTAAATGCTATTCCTGAATGGACTCCCTGGAGAGAGGATTATAAGTTTTCAATACACATCCAGACAGAAGTGAAAGGATTATTTGACGAACAAAACAGTGTACAGCATAAAACAGCCACCCTCAGTCTGGTAATCTGGTAATCCTAGTTTCAGCTTCATAGCAAACGGGTCACCCCATCGTCGCTCCGCTCCTGTGCCAACGAAAAACACACGTAGCTCACAGTGTCACACCATGCACTCAACTCAGAAGCTGGTCGACGAAACTATTTACTTCCAGTCTACAAAAATGCAACGGCCACCGCCTGGCAGAAGCAAAAAAAAAACATTTGCCACGGCTAAAAAAAAAAAAAAAAAAAGTGGCCATGCCTAGCGTCCATTTTGACCTGAAGCATTATGTGAGGGTTAATTCTACTTGATGATGAATACCTCCAGGTTCTTTAGGGTCGTGTTTACATGGATGGGTCACCACAAAATGCAATCAAAAGCAGAGGAGCAGGAGTGTACATTGAGCACCCTAATAATACCAGGAATAAGCAAAAATACCAAGCGGATGATTGCCACTTGTATTGTATTAATGAGCTTTCTATGCTGGGGTATAAATTTGGCTCCTGGATAAACTTAGTTGAATTGCCCTAATGTAGTTAATGCTCTGCCCTGTTTGTCTTTATTTATTACTTCCCCTTAATAAGTACTCTAATACCATTTAGGGTAACCTTTATTTAGAGGAAATTTTTTTTGTAGTGGCTAAGGGGCCACAGATATTGCAGTGGGTAGCACGACTGCCTGTGTGCTAGATGGTCTGTGATATTTGTTTGTTATTGTTAAATGATCAAGTGTTACATTTGTTGTGCAGGACTGTCTGGTGTCTACAGCATCAGTGATCACTTCCAGCATGAAGCCATGCGTGGCATTGAGGATGTCTCATGCATGTGTCGGGCTCATTACGGTGAAGACCACTTTGCAAGATTTTCTCCGAAGGAAATTATTCGAAGTTTTGGGAGATGTTTGAGGTAATTATTCACTTTTTTATGTCTGGCTCAAGCAGTGCAGCCTGTTTGAATAGTTATGTTTTATATTTACTGATCAGCATGTTGTGTTTGTTTGAACTTCTGATGTTTAGCTAAAGCATTTACAGAAAAAAATGTTTGTGGTTTACCAAATCTATTTTTGGTCTCTGTGGAAATCATACATTTCTGGCTGGAGAAATATAATTACCAGAGGGGGAGACAACCTAACAGATGAGATTTTATGGTTATTTACCCTCTTTCGCAGCCAACAGGACCTTCAGTAAGTGACAGAGTTATATTTACCTGCTTGTTTAATGAAAGAGGAGCGGCTGGCCAACGAGCTGTTACAGCTTGGGGCTCTCATGCTGGAGACCGGAGTTCGACCCCCGGAGGCAAAATTAAGCATCCTGACCTCCACAGTCTGTGGGGACAGCACTAACCAGGCAGCTGGAAATTACCCCCCACCTCCCTTTACACCACCCTAAAAAGTGGTAACACAGACAGTGTGACAGTTTTAGACAGTTATATGAAAAAGTTTTGGAGATGTTCATGTCTTTTGTAAACTTGTAACAGCTGATAAAAGACAAGGCTTGCCTACTTTAATCTAGCCTGCCTTAAAGATAAAGAAGTCATTATGCCATTCTTTTTAGCTTTAATTTTTCTCTGCCTACATTGCAACAGAAATGTACTTGCTGGATTATACCCTGAATCTGAATCCAGTTTAGGACTGAAATAACACAGCTGTAGTGCATTTCAAGACTCGTACGCTCACACTTTCACATATACCTCGAAAACTCCTGTAAGGATCAATACGAAGTTTTACATGTAGTTTTTGATTTCCCATGTCCTTATATTTTTATAATTTACAATTGCTGCTATTTTTTAAAAGCAGCAAATTTTTTTGGTCTTTGTTTGAGTAAAAATTTTTTTAACCCCTAAAAATAGAATAGTAATTGACACAAGCTTGAAGATTGTTTTGAAATCATTTCATGTGTGCAGCGACGCACATGGTGATGATTATTTTGATAACCTATTCTGCATAAAATGAAACAAAAGCAACTCCTGTGAGACTGATGCTGGAGATGATCACCTGAGAGTGAAACTCTTGCAGTTTGATGCTTTGAAAAGTTCCCATTACTCAGTTAACTATAAGCCTGCTAACTGTTTGCTTTGAACCCCTGTCTGGTGTTTCATATACTGCAGGTAAGGCAAAATGAAAACTAAACATTTTGTTACATTAAACAAAAATTTCTGACAGATTCATGATAATTATCAGGTTGCATGCCAAATTATAACAGCTTACACCAAACATTTAGTGAGTAAAGATTTTTGGAATGGACTATGAATACCCAACTTTTGCAACAATAGGCTAACATTGTCTCTGCTTCAGACTCTATTCTACATTTGTTTATAGAACTTTTGTATTTTTTGGGGGGAAAATTTTTTATGGCAGCGGCATAGGGTTTCTGAAAAAAAAATGTTATGGGTTGACAAAATTTAGAGGTATCATTTAGAAACATCACAGCAAGCAGCTAGCTAGAGAACTAGACATTTGGTACTCTTTGGACATGTGATGAGAAGAAATACAATTGGTGACAGCTGGTAAAGTTGATGGACAAAGAGCAAAGGGAAGACAACAGACCAGTAATGTTGGTGACTATACTACACGGCATAAGTAGAAGAAAAACACAAACTTGATCCAAGACATTGGGGTTTATGAGAGAGATTGTGAACAACTAAAGGTGAAAGGTTATGTCAGTTATAAAGCATAAGTGCTGTGCCACCAGTACGGACAGCTGATAAGAAACTGTCCGCCCGTTTCGCTGTCCGCATGCAACTCTGTAGCTACAACGGTGTTCCTCTATTTATTCTGAATCGTCCTTGTGACCAGCTATGTTTCTCAGCATTCCACATAAGGATATTCTTTTCCTCATTCTTTATCAGTATCTGATGATAACAGATGAAAGTAGCCTAGCTAGGGTGCCTTCAGTTGCTTGGTATACTGTAATTTTGTGGAGTCTAGGCTTTCATTGCCTCCTTCTATCCATCTTCTTGTTCTTCTTCTAGGCCTCCTGCCTTTTGGTGCTTTAGTTTTCATTTTGTGCCCTCTCGCTGTCGGCAATGTTGTATTCATTCTCACTGGGTGGCTGAACTATTTCAGCATATTTCTTTTACCTTGCTGATTTCAAAAGAATTACTTTCTGATTGTGTTGTAAATGTTTTGTTTCCCTACTCTACAGCTTGCCAATGATGGTGCTAGTTCACGGAATGAACGACTATATATCGCCCATGACATCCACCCTGACATTTGCAGAGGCACTCGCAGAAATCTCTGCTAATGTCAAGGTGAAGATCATCCCAGAGTGCGATCACTACGAGATTTGCCTGGACCTTATGGAGAAACATCGCAAGTTTTACGCCCACATTATGAATATTATCATGGAGACAGTTAGTGCTGTATCCTGATGACTGGGACTGCCAGGGTTCAATGCTTCTTGAGAATGCTACATAGTTTTAACACTTTGCTTATTTTAATGGCCTGTATGTGATGTCTGGAGAATTTGTACATTTGTGATGACGTCAGAAGTTTGTTGTGATGTTTGTAATGATGTCTGAGGTTTGTGGTATCATTGGTGATGATGTCAGTTTTGTGGTGTTGTTTGTGATGATGTCAGAAGTTTAGGGTGAAGTTTGTAATAATGTCAGAAGTTTGTAGTGATCTTTGTAATGATGTCAAAAGTTTAGGGTGAAGTTTGTAATGATGTCAGTAGTATGCATTTATGATTAAAAATGATATCAGAGGTTTGTTGTGATGACTGATATAATAATCTTGAAAGGTTGTAATGATGTTTGTAATTATATCAGGTGTTTGTAATGATGTTAAAATAATTTAAGAAGTTTATTAAATCAGATACTTGTATATGTGCCACATTTATAATGTAGGATTTGTATGCAGTGTTTGTAATGTCAGTTATGTGTAAATGTTGGTTACATCATTTTGTCAAAAAATTATATAAAGTGGCCATTGAGAAATCTGCCCTGATCTACCCTGATACAGATTTTGCAAGGTTTGAGAATTCATAAATAATTTGGAGCACCAGCTGCAAGAAGATGCATGTAAATGCAATTTTCAGCCTCCTACTGTTTGATGAATGTACTGAGTGTTACCAACACAGCACAATTATGTATATTTGTGAGGTTAGTTTTTTCCTGATATGATGTCAAGATAATACATTTTATTTTAACCTTATAGCCTCGAGGAGTCAAACAAGAGATCAGGATATTTATAATGCTTTCAAAGATTATATTACATAGATGGATTTTCCGATTAATAAGTTAGTGTCCATTACAACACATGTCACACCAACCGTGGTTGCAATTCATGTTGGTTTTGTTACACTCTGCAAAGATGATGAAGATATACCTACATTCACTTCGTACCACTGTATCATTTATCAGCAAGTGCCGTGTTCAGAAATTCTGAGCTGGGATGATGTTATGATTCCATTATTGAATATTATCAGTGCGATTCATGCCAGGAGCTTACAAAGATGTAAGTTTTGAGCTCAGAATATAGAGCTGACCATTTTAGAAAATTATTTTCTTCTGCATTCATCTCAATATGTAAATACATTGTGCTCATTTACAACATATTATCATCTTTCAGCCAACATATCTGACTTCTGCAGGCATTTGTTGCCTGGGGTAGCCTCCCGGGTTCTAGAAGATTCAGGAGCTCTCTTCTATAAATTACAGAGTTTTTGAAATTCAAAGGAGGATGTTTTCGTGGCTGAGAAAATCCTGCATGGTTAATGAATCTGCCGTTTCCCTTGTGATATTAACAAAAGGCTAAATGAAGACAATTTAAGCTTGCAAATCTCTGATAGAAATTAGGAGAGTGATTAAGAACAACAGGGAAAGGATTACGTTATTTGCAGCTCAGCTGAGGACGGGTGATTTCAGGAATTTCAGTTTTGTGGAAGATGAGGGCAAAGCTAAGATGTTTCCTACTTTTGAGTGTTTTGCAATGCTGCTAGAGTCCTTCTACATAACTTTCATGACATTTCCAGTTAAGGAAATGAACACTAATTGTGGATAAACTTCTAAAATATCATAATTAATAGAAAAGAACTCCAGAATAGTAGAAGAAGAAATAGTAAAGCTTCCCTGAGAGATTGGCCTATAAGCTAGAGATGCTGACAGCAATCTTCCTGAGTTCTGGACATTACTGTCAGAAAAATCCTGTCCAAATATTTGAAAGGTGGCATTTTATGTGAAAGCATTTTGTGGATCTGTGTGAATCAGTGTTCTGTGTGATGAATACGATAAAATCAAAGGAGCGGAACGTAATAACTGTTGATCATTTGATTTCCTTTTAAGAGTAGCAGTTACTTGATATGATTTGCAGCCTGATAAACTGATTGAGAAAATGCAGTGTCAGATGTCTGGAAACAAGTCAGCTGTCTGTTGAAAAGTAAGTAAAAAGTAAAGTAAAGGACCCTTTCCACGCCTATAGGTGTATAGGGCATATAGGGCTAGACCTATATTTTTTTAGACAAACAGCGCAAGATGGGTGATGTGGTCAGCATCATGCCGGTCGCCTCTACTTCCCAGGACTGCACCCGGTACCCACTCAAGGCTTGGTCGACCTGAGGGGCAAGGTCATTTTTGAAAAAGTCCGGCTCCGCTAGGGAGCGAACCCACGACCTTCCGATCCGTGGCGCGCGTCTAGCCATTCTGTGAAAAGTAAAGAAGTTATTTATTTTACTGCAGTGCTTAATGTTCATCCAGAAATATAATACATATTGATGTTTAAAAACTGTGTATACTTGTTTCTATGGTTGCGGCATTATTCTCTCTCTCTTTTTTTAAATTTTTGTTTTAAGATACTCTTTATTAGTTTTATCTATAGTCTGTAAAGTTTATCACCCGTGATATCCTAAACGAAAAGCAGCCCCCAGACCTAAAAAGGTTGGCTTGGCCACCCCTGCCATATGGCACCCCTCTTCAGACAGCAGCTGTTTGTCAAGCGAGTTAAAGTAAGCATTTTGAGATCATTCATCTTTCCCGTGGCAACTTAGGGATCTACAGAAAGGTTCTTAGAATATCATGAACCAGGAAATAGAGAAACGCAGACATCCTACATGATCTGAACATCGAGGAAAAATTGGCTCATAAACAGCACCCTGTACTGAAAGCTTCGGTATTTTGGTCATGTTAAATAGTCATGGTGGCCTGAAGATAATGGTGGTTGGGGGGTACAGTTCCAAGAAAACTAGGCAGAGGCAGAAGTAGACCTCCGTGAAGGGGGGATACAAGGCACTGAAGATGCTTTGGCTAGGAAAGCATAAGAGTATGGAGAATTGCCTGGAGACAGAATGAGCGAACTTCGTTTCCAAAGGGTAACTTATTGGGTACGCAGGCCTGTCTTATATATGGCCCTCCCAAACACTCATCTTTCACACAACAGAAACTTTCAGGTGTGCCGTGACGAAAGTTATGTTCTGTAGAGGAACTGCTGATTGATGATGATGGGATGATGAACCGAGATTGCCCATCAGTGATGCTAAGAGAGTGGCTGACTTTTTTTATTAGCCGACCACAAATGGGAAATCCACAGTTCACGGGACAGTCAAATATTTCAGGGGGTGGTAGATTAAGTGTATAGTTTTGGTTAGGATTAGGTAAACGCGCAAAAATCTTAGCCTTGGAAGAAAAGGGCCAAAGCACAGAAAACATGGAAAACCCACTCTTACCACCCTCTAAAATATTGGACTGTCCAGTGACGTCATTTGTGGTCGGCTAAAAATAAAGCGCCACTTTTAGTGTATTAAAGTAAGAATGCAAAAATAATGTTTTAATATATAAGAATGTCTGTGAGTCAATATTTCAGAATATAAGAAAGCCAATGAGTGAGTGTATCATACTGTTAGAATATCTGTGAGGTGGTGTTTCAGAATATAAGAGATTGTATGAGTTGATGTTTCAGAATATAAGACAGTGTTTGAGCTAGCGCTTCAGAATATAACAAAGTCTCTGAGTTACTATTTCAGAATATAAAAAAGTCTACGAGTTAGTGTTTCAGAATATAAGAAAATCTCTGAGATAATGTTTCAAAATATAAGAAAGTCTGTGAGTTAGTACTTCAGAAAATTAAAAAAAGTCTACGAGGTGTTTCAAAATATAAGAAAGTCTTGAGTTAAGGTTTCATAATATGAGAGTATCAGTTAGTTAATGCTTCAAAATATAAGAAAGTCTATGCGTTAATGTTTTAGAATTTAAGAAAGTTTGTTGTTAATGTTTTGAAATATAAAAGTATCTATCAGTAAAAAAAGTAAAGTAAAGATCCCTTATCACGCCTTTTGGCGCATCGGGCATATGGGCAGAGCGTCCCATATTTTTACAGACCATCAGCACACTGTGGGTAATGTGGTCAGCATTACGCCGGCTGTCTTTACTTTCCCAGGACAGCCCATCCTGGTACCCATTTTAGGCTGGGTCGACCTGCGACGTTCCATACCACGATAAAAATCCACGCAGCCGATCGCGGTATGCTGGCTTACGAGTCGGACTTGCAACGCCTTAGCCACGGACGCCGCGAGTATATATCAGTTAGTGTTTAATAAGATAAGAAAGGAGGTTAATGTTTCAGATTATAAAAGAGTATAGGAAAGAGTTAATGTTTGAATGTACTATTGTTATACAGTAATGTTGAAGCAGAACAGCATAGGTGGGATTGCTGGACAGTGGGGTTGCTGGATAGTGGGGTTGCTGGACAGTGGGGTTGCTGGACAGTAAGAAACTGAACAAACTAGTGCTTGCATACAATGTATTTATCTCAGACAAATAATAAACATGTGAAGACAGTTTTCTGAATGGTCTGCACACTTATGGATTTGGTTTCTTTATTTCACAAAATTCACAGCATTCTTCATAACATACTTCTTCTACTTCTACTTCTTCTACTTCTACTTCTCCTTTGTCCACCAGCTGTAAGCTCCCACAGAAAGTCCCTGTTGTTCGTCCATTTGGACATTGGCTTTGTGCCAGGGCCTGAGTTTTGCGTGTACATCCGTTTTACCGACTTATTTATATGCAGTTAGCTGTACACACGTAGTAAATGCTGCATAAGATTGAAGGCAGGATTGTCAAGAACTTTTATAGTGAACACTGGTGTGCGTCAGGGCTGTGTACTATCGCCGCTTCTTTTTATAACATACATGGATACCATATGTAGAGAAACTTTCTAGCCAGACTGCCCCCTTAATCATGAAGAAGATATTACAGAATTACTATTCGCCAACAACCAGGTACTCATAGCAAAAAGTACGGAATGCCTACAGAACCATCTAAATCGAATTAGTAACAAAGGGGAGGAATATAATATGAAAATAAACACTACAAAGACAGAAAATGGTGATAGGAAGACGGAGAAAATGGTGATAGGAAGACAGAGAAAATGGTGA